CGGGGCAGAGGCGGGGCCCAATGGCAGCTGCAACGGGGGGGGGGATTGGCTGGCCCAGCGTGCATCGACCCCAACGGGGGGGGGGGCATTGGCTGGCCCAGCGGGGGGGGGGGGGGATTGGCTGGCCCAGCGTGCATCGACCCCAGATCGCCCATTCATCGCCAGTCGGCGGGAGGGCTAGAGAGCATACGCTGGGGTCGTTCGTGGAGGAGTGCGCCCGGGCCCTGGAGTGTTATCTGTGGCCACGTCCACGATGGCAGCTCCACGGGCTTCAGACCCCGGATTCCTGGTGCTGAGGCTCTTTGTCCGATGCCCTCGCCGTATCATCGAGTCCCACGGTGACGTGCCACTGCTGCTCTCCTTGCTGCCCCAAGTCGGGGGGCCCAGATCCCCCACCGCGGCCAAGGAACAGGCGGCTTCGCTGTCGAGGGACCATCGCCGATCCAGCGGCGAGGCATCGCCGAGTCCAGGGCAACGATCCCCCCACCACTACCATATGTGGGACGGGGGAGAAGAGAGGATCAGGAGGTCCTCCTCCTCCTCCTCCTCCTCCTACTCCTATTCCTACTCCTATTCCTACTCCTACTTCTGCTCCTGCTCCTCCAACTCCTCCACCTCCTCCTCCTCCTCCTCCTCCTGCTCCTCCTCCTCCTCCTCCTCCTCCTCCTCCTCCTCCTCCTCTTCCTCCTCCCAGTACTCCTCCTCTTCCTCCTCCTCCTCCGCCTTCTTCTCCTCCTCCTCCTCCTCCTCCTCCTGCTCCTCCTCCTCCTCCTCCTCTCCCTCTCCTATCTATGGTAGAGGTGGAATCAGCCCATCATATTCCAGGTCAACGTTTCCCCCCTGAGCCGGTGGAGCGACGCAGAAGAACGGAGCCAATTGCGCCGGCATTCGCGCGAAGCTGCCCGCGTTAGGTCGCGCGCAGTCGCCCTCGCCTCCAATGTAGCGTGCCGTTCCGGCGGCCCGCGTAAGTCACCGCGTAGGGTCGCTACGTCATCTCGAGTAATGCCCTCTTCTGCTCGTCACTCCGGTGCTGGTGCGCAGAAGGACGTGTCGCGATGGGGGTGGCCTTCTAAGAAGGCGGGGGGCCGGGGTGACTCTAAGAAGGCGGGCGGCTCATGAGAAGCTCTCTTGACCTCTTAGGACGCAGGCTTTACGAAGTCCCCCGCCTTCCAAGACACCACCGGCTTATTTTTAGAAACCTGCCCCTACATCACGCCGCCCTCCAATCTCGGCGGCGAGCGAGGGGGGAAGTGAGAAGGAGAAGGCCTTCTCAGAAGGTGGCGGGACTTCTCAGAAGCCCTCGCGCATTCTGGGAAGTTGTTGTTTGTCTTCGGGGAAGGCTCGCACAAAAAATATCAGAAGGCCGAGGGATTTCGGAGCCTTGGGGAAGCCCTTCTCCTTCTCACTTCTCCCCCTCGCTTTAGATCGGGCGTGTCCCTCTACAGCAGGAATATTCAAAAATAGTAAACCATAGTCTGGGAACGATTTTTAGTTTTTGTTGGCTATGTTTGAATATATTTTGCATACTTGTTATTCTTCCTCCAGAACCCGCCTGTAGGGGGACATGCGCGACCTGACCCTCGCTCGTCGCCAGCAAGCGTTCCAGCGCAAGGCAGCCGGTGGCAGGCTCGCGCAGGGCACGGGGGCGCAGACGGCGGAGGCGCGGGGCTCCAGAGCCGGGGCTCCTCCATCACCACCATTCTTGGGTACATAGCCAGGACCCCGGTTAAGGGGACTTGGTTCGTATCAGGCGATCGCAAACATGAATCAAGGGCGCGTGGATTAGCGACGGGCTTCCGTTTCTATGGGAGATCGCGGATTTCCGCCGCCGAGCGAGGCGGCACTGGCCGCATTTTGGGGAGGCCCCGATCCATAGATTTGGCGACCGCACGCCAAATCCATCGCTGATCCATGTTTGCGCGACCCCGATAGTAAGTAGTAGGGCTCCGGGGCCCTTAAATTGGCCAGAATCACTGAAACAGGTCTGCCTCAGCTTGTGTTTTTTCGGGTGGCGGCAGTTCTGGTCAGTGGAACGGGGCCTGGGGGACGCCCCGCAGTACACATCACTAAACCGGGTCCCAATAAACCATGTTCTGCCAACGCCCGACACTCTCGGGCAGTGCCAGGGGGGGTCGCCACTGGAGGGGGTCACCGGTGTTTCCTGGAAGGCGAAGTTCCAGGATAGAAGCTCCAGAGAGGTTAAGGTTTTTGGGCGTCTCGGGGTCGATGTTGGAGGGCTCCGGGACGTTCGTGGGGGCCGCAATCTCCTGGAGGAATTGGCGTTCCCTCGAGGAGATGGCGCTCCCGCGAGTTGTTTGTTTCTCTCAAATTGCCCACGCGTTCGCCGGGGATGCAAGGCTTCAGCCAGTCCAGGGAGTGGCGACCCCCCAAGTGGTAAGTCGGGCACGTCCCTCTACAGGAGGAAAATTCAAACACAGTGAAAAACAGTACGGGACAGATTTTCTGATTATTCTTGGTATTTCTGCGCCTTTTGACTATTTATCGCTGCCTGTAGGGGGACATGCCCGACCTGATCTTAGTGGTGACCCTTCCTGCGCATTGCCGAATGCTCTGGGGGCCGACAGCCCAATACTTTTTGGGGGGCGCGATTTTTTGGGGGAGGGCCAGCCGATGTGCATCATACGGTGGGGGCGTTGGTTAAGGAACGCGCCCAGGTTGCTGCAGACCCTGGAGGGTTTCTTATCTGATGAGGGCGGCCGCGATATCCATGGCCAAGCCTCGGTTGGATTTCCACTGGCCTCCAGCCCTTGGATTCCTTATCTAAGGGATCCTTAACCAATGCCCCCACCGTATTGGCTACACTTCAAGCTGTGGCGAAGCGTCCGGGCTCGCCTATAGGCCCACCAGAGAATTATCTGAGAACCTTTTTGTGGTTCGCACGAGATGTTCTTAGGACATGTCTGGCTGGGGCTGTCTTGCCTTAGCCCATCGGGCTTACGTTCTAAGAACAGAGTTTTTGTTCTTAGTACACTTCTGGGCTCTAGGAACATTTCGTGGTGGGCCTATAGGAATGCCGGGACGGTCGGTCCCTGCTCGAACACTAGGTGCGTGTCGTGTCCACGCGACGCCGACCCCGTCGCGGGCTTTCAGGGTTGAGCGCCGCCAGTGGCCTAGAACCCGCCATCATGGAACAATCTGGCGATCGAAACACTGCCGATCGTTCGAGGTTGAGCGATCCACGCGGTGTCATAGACTAATGCCGCCGTCGTCGCGACACGAACCTGTCGTCGGATGCTGGCGTCGGTGTTGTAGGGCAGCGCGCCGACTTCAACCAGATTCGGCCCCCCCGATGGGACTGGCAGCCCTCGCGCTCCCCGTTCGGGTCGCCGTGGCTTCGGGGAGCCAGGAACGTGTCCACTATTTCGTGTCTGTCCTCCGCTCAGTGGCAAATTGCGGCCGACACGCAGAGTTCATTTGTTTGAAGCATCTGTCGCCTGGAGAACGGGCCTGACAATGATACATAGTGCGCTGTCCTGTGACGTTTCTGTGAAGCCCCATCGGATAGGGCCCAGATGCCCCAGTGTATACGCGCGTTCCCCACATTGTGGGGGCACGACTGTATGTTCGACCAGATGTTGGGCCCTTGGAAGGCCAGAACCCATCGCGGTTCGCCGGGTGAGAGGATACCAATGAATAAGAATGAAGAATACTAAGAAGAAAGACGATCATAACAATCATACTCATTACCAGAATACTACCTAATAAGATTAATACTTACATAATACGAGGAACATCATCCTACCCTCCTAATCACATCCCATCCCTAAACATCCTCCTCCGTTTCGCCATTCACATCACAACCCGAACTCGAGGGCCTACGGTCAGGAACTTGCTTGAGCTGAGCGCGTCGCGCCACCAGTCTGGCCCACCACGCTTGGGCGCGACACGCTCACCACGTTCAGTATCGTTTAACAGATCCCCACCCCCCATCCCCATCCCCATCCCCTTCGAGACCCCCACCAAATTACCACCCCAGTTGGGGATAAACCCTTCAAGCCCGGAGGGAACGACCTACATCCCCATCTAGGGGGGTAAATCGGCCAGTGGGGCCCAGGCCACGCCGCTGGGGATGGGGATCGGTTAAACGATACTAAGGAGTCCCAGTCCCCGAGATCTCTTCTAGCGCCATTTTTTCACATGTGCGCCCATTGCATCGGGTCGGGGACTGTTGTATAGAGCGTGTTTCTTGTTGCTTGGGGCAAAATGGGCATTATAGCCCCCGCCCCCCCTCCCCCCATAACAGAATGCCCCTCCCCCCCAGTGCGATTCGGGCACTGCCGCCGTGCGCATCGGGCACACGGCGGAGGGGAGGCGTTACATCATGCCCCCCCCCCAAAGAAACGTGCTCCTAACGCGATTTCTTCACATGTGTGCCCATTGCATCAGGTCGGGGACTGTTGGATAGGGCGCCGCTCCGCCGTTCACGACCCACCGCGATTCAACGCGATACGCTAAACACGTTCCAGTCCCCAAGCGTCAGCTCGGCGGCAGGCCGAGGGGGAAGCGAGAGCGGGCATGCCTTCTAAGAAGACAGCGGAGCTTCCAAGATGCCCTCCGGCCTTCTGAGAAGCCGTCTCTGTCTCCAGAGGAGACGGCTCAAGAAACATCTCAGAAGGCTGGAGGCCGTCCTAGACTTCTGCCTTCCCCATGACTTCCACCCCTGGCGCTCGCCGCCGATCAACGTTCCGAGCCTTTCCCAGTCTCCCACCCCGCGGAGCGGAGCGACACGCCATCGCCTTGGAAGGCATCGCGTGTCGCATGGGCCGCCGCCGCAACACGCGAAGCAAAAGTTCCTGTCCGCACAGGCAAGACGCTGAAACAAGGACCGCCGTGGGCGTTGGAGGGGCTCGGGGTTTTCGGGCCGTTACTTCCATTGGTGCGTGAAACCAGCGTGTGTGTGCGTGTGTGTGTGTGTGTGTGTGTGTTTGTGTGTGTGTGTGCGGGTGGCCATGGCTTGCCGTGGCCAGAACGTCCCCTCCGTTCCGTATTATGCGCTCCTCGGGTCAGCACGAAGGTTGTATTCCCCGACGCCCTGGAATTCTTGGGGCAACTTGCGAGATCCAAGGTCGGCCGAACAGTTTTCTCCCAGATTCCTTGTGCCAAGATATCAAATCGATGAGTGTATGTATGTATATATATATATATATACACACGCTAGCGTGGCAGCGAGGCGTTGACGAGCACAGCTGAGAGTAGAGCATTCCTTGCACTGGGAAGCGAGTTCAGACATCGCAACCATAGATGATCTGCTGCAGGGCTACCCTGGCGGCCTCGTGTGTAAGCCAGGATCCCGGCCTCCAGAGCCGTAGCGATGGATGGAGACCCTGCCTCGGGCAGGCGGGCATGCTGGCCGAGGGAGATCGGCGGCGCGCAGCCACAGGCCACGGGGGAGAAAGGGGTCCCGAGTAGGGCTTGTCGCAGTCTTCGAGCTCTCGGGGCCCCCCACCGGCCCCCTCCCCTCCCTCCAACCCCTCCCTCCCTCCCCTCCCTCCCTCCCCTCCCTCCCTCCCTCCCTCCCTCCCTCCCTCCCTCCCCCCCTCCCTCCCTCCCTCCCTCGACTGTCACGACACAGATCAGGATGAAGATCTCGTCTGGGGGGAAGGACCCCGGGTTCAGGACGTGTTTCCCTCAGGACCCGCTGCCCCCGTCGTGCTAAAAGGGGGGGGGGAGGCGGCCTCCTGGAGCGGTGCGCCTGGCAACTCAGGCGCAGCAGAGCTGAAACGGCACAAGCGCAAAGGCACAAGCACAAATGTTCGGAGGTTCGGCACAGAACAAACTCAGCCACGCGCAGAGAGGGGTGTGGGGAGGGGGGAGGGCTCCTCAGAAGCACCCCTGTTTCTTAGAAGCCGCGGGCCTTACCTGTAGATGTAAGGCCGGCGCCTTCTAAGAAGCAGCCTCCTCCTGAAAAGCCCTCACCCCTCCCTCCACCCCCTTGTGCGCACCGTCGGACACAAATGTTCGGACGTTCGGCACTGGACCGGCGCCTCCGGCGCCTTTCCCTGACGCCTCCGGGTGCACATCGCCGATCGCCGAGCCAAGAGATCCGCAAGGACAAACGCTGTGTGCCTTTTCTGTTCCTGGAGTTAACTCGGGCCTGCCCCTCTACAGGAGGAGTATTCAAAAATGGTCAAGCCATAGTCTGGGGTATTTTTTTGAGTATGTCCTTTGGATTGTTTCTGAATGTTTGTCGATTCTTTGCGATTTTCCGCACGCAATCCGCCTGTGGGGGGACATGCCCCAGTGGGGGGACATGCCCCACCTAATCCTGGAGAGAGTCGGCGGCGAGCGAGGATGAGGGGAAGTCAGAAAGGGGGCGGGCCTTCTCGGAAGGCTCGGAATCCCCCTGGCTTTTGAGAAGTTGTTCTAGGCCTTCCCCGAAGACGCGGAAAACTGCTCAGAAGGCGCGCGGGCTTCTGAGAAGCCCCACCGCTTTCTGAGAGAATTGGAGGAGGAGGAGGAGGAGGAGGAGCTGGAGGAGGAGGCGGAGCCTTCCCCTTCTCACTTCCCCCCTCGCTCGCCGTCGAGAGAAGGGCGTCCCAGGCAGGGCCGCGTTTTCAGCGCGTCTCGCTGCCGGCGGAGGAGCGAGCGGAAGCATATAGATAGATAGATATATATATAGATAGATAGATAGATAGATAGATAGATAGATAGATAGATAGATAGATAGATAGATAGATGGATATATATATATATATATATATATAGACATATAGATAGACATATAGATATATAGGTATACATACATATATATATACACAGCGGCGGCGGGCCCGTCAGCGGAAGCCAGCGGAGGGTCGGCGGAGGGCGGCGGCTGCAGTGTGAGACGTCAGCCTTTTCTCGGCGTCACCCCAACATACTTGTACTATATGCTTCCCTGGGGCCAGTGTCATGGAGGGCGCCAAGCCGCTCTGGACTTTCTGTTTCGAGGTCGCCCCAACGAAAACGCAGTCGCAAACTTAACCTTTTTGGGGGTGCGGGTCGCTCCCACAGGGGCGACGCGCGCACCGAGAACTCACACAGTTTATGCGTCGTGGCAGGCGCTTTCGGACCACACCGCTCGGGGAACGATGTACTACAAGATGAGTATACTATATGTTCGGGTCGGACGCGCCGCTCCAAGGAGGACATGTATTGGTATGTCCCTGTGCGCCCAGGAACTGTCTGCGAAGCCCCTGATCCCGTCAGAGAGCCCTCCCCCGCCTTCTCAGGAGGCCGCCCTCCTCGCCCCGAGCCTCTTGCGGCGCGCCGCCCAGGAGAGGCCCGGGTGGCCGAGCAGGCAGAAGCAGAGGACGAGGGCAGCGAGGATGCGGGAGCTGGGGAGGCAGCCTGCTCTGCGGCGGCAGCTCTGGCCGCGGCGGGTGCCGCGGACGTCCGGCCCGAGAGCGCGGCGGAGGCGCTCGGGGCCGCAGCCGCGCGGCTGCCGCGGGCGCCCGACCGGCGCGCGAACGAGGCGGCGGGCGCCACGGAGGAACGGCTTGGCGGCCCTGTGGGCGGCGACGAGTCGGATCGACAGGAGACGCCGAGCAGGGAGCCGGTGTGGGAGCTGGCCGCCCCCGCGGCGGCGACAGTGGCTGCAGGTGAGGCCCGCGGTGGTCCGCCGCCGCCGCCGGCCGCTGCAGAGCTCGCAGCCGCGCGCGCGCGGACGCCGCCGCGCGGCCGAGCGCCCGCGGCAGGTCGGCGGCGGGCCGCCTCTGCGCCAGTGGGCCGCGGCCGCGGCGGCCCGCCGCCCGCGCGCTCCACGGAGCTCGGCGTCGCACGCTTGCCAGGTGCGCCGCTGCGCGGCCGAACGGAAGAGTGTGGAGCAGCAGACGCACCACCAGCCACAGGAGCGCCCAAGACGCCGCCTCGCGGCGGCGGTGCCGCCGCAGCGGCGGCGACGCCCATGGCAACATCGCCGAGCACGCCGTCGTGCGGCGGCGAGGCCTCCGCGGCGGCGGCGCCGGTGGCGCCCGCGGCAGCATCGCCGAGCACGCCGCCATGCGGCGGCGAGGGTTCCTCGGCGGCGGCGGCGGCGGCGGCAACGCCCGCGGCAGCATCGCCGAGCACGCCGCCGTGCGGCGGCGAGGCCTCCGCGGCGGCGACGCCGGTGGCGCCCGCGGCAGCATCGCCGAGCACGCCGCCATGCGGCGGCGAGGGCTCCTCGGCGGCGGCGGCGGCGGCGGCAACGCCCGCGGCAGCATCGCCGAGCACGCCGCCGTGCGGCGGCGAGGCCTCCGCGGCGGCGACGCCGGTGGCGCCCGCGGCAGCATCGCCGAGCACGCCGCCATGCGGCGGCGAGGGCTCCTCGGCGGCGGCGGCGGCGGCGGCAACGCCCGCGGCAGCATCGCCGAGCACGCCGCCGTGCGGCGGCGAGGCCTCCGCGGCGGCGACGCCGGTGGCGCCCGCGGCAACATCGCCGAGCACGCCGTCATGTGGCGGCGAGGCCTCCGCGGCGGCGATGCAGGTGGCGCCCGCGGCAGCATCGCCAAGCACGCAGCCGTGTGGCGGCGAGGCCTCCGCGGCGGCGGCGCCAGTGGCGCCCGCGGCAGCATCGCCGAGCACGCCGCCGTGCTACGGCGAGGCCTCTGCGACGGCGGCGGCGTCAGCATCGGCCGCAGGAACGCCCGAGACGGCGTCGTTCGGCGGCGATGCCTCCGCGGCGGCAGCGGCAGCGCCAGGCTCGCCGCCGCGCAGCGGCGGCCTGGGCGCTGGCCCGTCGGAGAAGTCGCCGCGCGGGGCTGGGCGCGGCATCGCCCAGCTGGGCGGGGGCGAGGAAGAGGAGGTTAGCTGCAAAGAGCGGCTGCCCCGCGAGGACGGGTTCGGGCCCGGCGCGGCTTGGCCATCGTGGGGCGAGGAGGCCCCCTGCGAGGAGCAACCGGAGGGCACCTCTGCGGGCGAGGGCGCGCCGCCCGAGGCCGACGGCTCTGGGGAACCCCGTCCTCTCCGCCGCTCGCCCCGTTGCCTGGGCGCCCGGCCGAAAGAGACCGGTTCGGAGGAAGAATTGCTCGTGAACCAGGACGCCGCGGCGGGCGCCGCCGATGAAGACGAGGACATCGAGCAGTGACGAAACGTCGTTTCGGCCTGCGTGGCCGCGGGCGGTCTGTAGTTTTGCTCCCGCCTCCTGTTTTTTTTTCGGTGGGGAATATGACTCGTCCCTTCTCTTTCTCCGCCTGCTCTTCTTCCTCCTCCTCCTCCTCCTCCTCCTCGTCCTTCTCCTCCTCCTCATATTCCTTCTCCACCCCTCTCCTCTTCGAGCGGTAGGTCACTGTATTGTACTGTCTCTTGCTCTTGTATTGTAATCGTCTCTCACCACCGCTGCCGCTTGGATCGGGGGCACGAAAGTTGGCCAAGCGTTCGTGCCCGTGTCGTTCGCGTTTGACTCACATCGTTCGGTTTTTGGCACCGTAAAACAGTGCTCTCGTATCCGAGTCCTTGACTTTTAGTTGATCGCGTAGCAGGTAGCTGTTCCTCGCCACTGCCGCAATGACTTCCTCTCGCTGCCTGCTTCGATGCCGTCGGCTCCACTGCCGTGCCGTGTGACACAGGTTCTTCAAGGGCTATTACTTCAAGATCACCGCGTTATTCCTCGAGCTGCGCCGACCCCACGCTGGATGGTCTTCGCCGCGCTCGTGCTCTACTGCCTACTGCCTGATCACCGCGGCTGGCGGCGCCGATGCCGTCCATCTGCCAGGCTCGACTTTGGGGGACGAGCGCACTTACAATTACCTGGACAGCAACATCAAGGACCGCGCCCCCTGCGCGCCTGCCCTTCCCCTCGGGTGCTCTCGAACTGCTCGGGGCTTCTTCGTTTTCGCGGCACTCGCCCGTGGGCCCCGAACTATTCACGACTATGTTGCGGAAGTCCAAAGGAGAAGGGACATTGGACGTATCGCCCTCATTGCACCCGCATGTGGGTGTAGCCGACCATGTCAAGCAGTCGATCGATCCGGCGCCCACATCGTCGGCGTCGGCAATGCGTGCAGGCTCATCCGCAACTGCGTTGTGGAAGTCCGGGGGCGCACGTACAGGCCAGAGCGGGGACGCAGAGGAGTGTCCGGCAAATCCGATGCCATCCCTTTTTGGGGAGCCGTTACACAAGTTTGGGACATGGCCTTCAACGGTCCCTGCGCATCCTCTGCGTCCTGGCAGACCTGGATATGTATGCGTACTCCTCTTGTTTTTTCGTACAGTTGGCAGTGCTCAGTACAGTGGCAATGTCATTCACGTCGAGTTCTTCCGCCACTATGTGGCGGCGTGCTCCGAGTCCAACCAGCTCTCCAATCGCCAGGCAGCAGACATGGCCCAATGCGCTGACGTGGAGGAGCACGCCAGGGCCAGTTACCCACGACGGCTCCGGGGAGCACGACCAGAACATCGCCGTTGCTGCCATTTGCCACGTCGCCTGCATGGGCGCGGGCAACGCGCGGCGCCTCCGAACCCGGGGGGCCGAGCGGCAGGCCCGCGTGCCCGGCCGACGCTGGGTGCTGGATAAAATGATCTGGTTAGTGGTGAATCCAGACCTCGTCGAGTTTCGCCGAGCGGCGTGCGTCTCGTCTGCTCTGACTGGGCGAGCGGCCGCCGGCTGTCCTTATCTTGCCACGTGCGCAGCCGCGTGACCTGCCGCGTGCGTAGCTTGGCCGAGCGGCGGGGCCAGCTCGGAGAGGGGGGGCGCGGGCGGGCGGCATCGGCCGTTCTGAACTTCAACCGATTGCCGCAGGAGCGCATCGGCAACGCCCCGGCAAATCCTCGAGCAGTTCGCGGGCCTCACGGGCGCCAGCCCACGCGCTCGAGGGCCGCGACAGTTTCGATGCCCAAATCTGGCTATGGAAGATGGCCGAACGGCTTGCGCAGGGCATCCTGGACCCTCGCTGGCGCCTGAGACGCCCGCGCCTGGCGAACTATGTTCGCGAATGCGGCGACGATGCGGCTGCCTTCGCAGCAGTGGCCTCAGGGGCCACGTGGCCGCTGACCGCGCGCGCGCGCAACGCGCGCAAGGCGTGCCAGCGCGACGCGCGATCCGATTGGCCTATGCACTCGAGATCCGGCCACTTGCCGGTGCCCCCGCAGTGCCCCCATTCGTTGGGAATGCCCAGGCTGCCGCGAGGAGTGAGAACGGGACCGACCAGCGCGTCCTCGCGAGCTCGGCAAGTCCATGTTCGCGGTTTCTCCGACGCGGTTGCGTCCACGCGCTGGCCAACGTCCGCGAGCACCAGCGCGACCTGGAGGAATCGACAGGGGAGCAGCAGACGAGGCAGGTCCACCACCGTCACCGTGCAGTGCGCCAGGAGCCAGCTCAGCCACAAGCGCTTGGGCTCAGTGCCAGGTCATCCTCGCGCGAGAGCCGTGGAATTTACGTCTCCGGCGGTGGCCCGCGACTAAGGGTGAGATGGCCCGAGCTCTGCGAGCGGCCAAAATGCTTCATTCCATGGTCGACCTGATCCCCGCAGTAGTCAACCGCTGTCGGGAAGGTCGCAAGTGGCTTCGACAGGCTCGCTAGATCATCCTCGCGCAACGCATTTCGATTCGATTTTGGGTTCTCTCCATTGGACTGGCGCTAGCCAAACGTGTTTTAGTCTTGGTCAGCTCCGCCGATAGATCGTTGCATCGCCTGAGTCGCATCAGATGGTCTCAATGGACAAACACATGTTGGCGCTGACGCGCCGTCCGGGGGTCGTCGAGATTTGAGCAGCACGTTGAATGCGACATTATTTACAGGGATCGCATGATTCAGCGTTTGATCTGCCGCGCCCCACGGTGGCGCGACGGCCAGGAGATCGCGGACAAATGCGACTCAATGTTGCTGGCAACAGTCGACGGGTCATGGTTTCATCCATTCGGATCAACGAAGACCGTCGTCGCGGTCGGCGCAGGCGGGGCGACCTCCGAGCACTTCGTAAAGAAAGTGAGGGGGGAGGGGCCCGGGTGGGCGTCCGTGCCCCGCGTCGGCGCGTTCGTTTCATAGAGCGACGTGGCGCAATATTTCGACGCGCGCTGCGCTCCGCTGACGAGCAGCTGGGGCGCGAAAGCGGTGCCGTCATCTTCGGCTCCACGCGCTGGCCATTGCCATCTTCGGAGGCAACGGCCTCGCCCGCGCGGGCGGCGTTGCGCCGCGCGACGTCGTCTTCGGCAAGCAGCCCTCCGCGCCGCCACCGCTCGAAGCCGACGAGGAGGGCGAGAGCGACTATGCCGCTGGAGCACCCCGCTGCTGGTGGCGAGGCGCAACCCATCCAACTGCAGTGGCGTATATGTGAGCTTGCCTTGCTGCGTATGATCGAAGATTTTTCGATCGCCCGCGACGGCCGCGCCCTCTTGACACTCGCCAGAGTGGCCGGAGAGGGGCGCTTCATCGTGGGTGATCGGGCGGAGGTCCACCAGCCTCCCAGCACAGAGGACGCGCCAGGCTGGGCAGGTCCCAGCACTGTCCTGCCTGTGGACCCGGCCAGAGGCAAGGTTGCGGCCAGGTGCCGCCAGGCCAAGATGGTCTGCAGACTGCGCAGACGCACGAACCCTCATCGGCGCCGTCTTTGACGACATGGGCACCGGCAAGGCGCGAGCAGGCCTGGCCTGGGATCGCGCGGGGGACATCATAGCGCACGTCGCGCCAGGCTCAGGCGCCGGGACCTTCGGCCACTGGGTGCGCGACCAGGGCAAGCAGCTGACCGAGCAGGCTCGGCAACGCCCCGACGTCCTCGTTGCATGCTCTGCGCCGCGTGACCCGCGAATGATTTTAGCTGCCTGGCGTTTGTGCCGTGCATCTTGCCAGGCTGCGCCCGCGGTTTGGTCGTCCGGCGTGCTTCCCTCGGAATTCAGGCGACGGCTGCCCATTTCAAGTGGGCGGCGTTAAATTCGAAGCCCACCGCCTCATCGGCGAGAAGTGGAAGGCCGCTCGCATCATGCAGGTCGTCCTTGGCGGCGAACAGCTGCTGGCAGCCGACGCTGGGCAGAGCCAGGGCGGGGCGGTCGATGGCAGTGTTGTCGCCGTTCCCGAGGACGCCGCCACCGTCGCTCAGGGCGGCTCAATGCCCGAAAAGGCCGACGGCGACTTGTCCGACCGCGTCCAGCAGGTGATGTTGGCAGCTCGGCAGGAGGTCGAGGGCGCGGAGAATCTGGCCCAGGAGCAACGGGCGCCAGAAACTACCGACAGCCTGCGCAAGGTCTACGCTGCAGTCGAGAATGCGGCCGCTGGCGTAGGCCGCCGGCCACGCGCGCGGCCCCGGCACTTGGGGGCGCAGCGCCAGCGTCAGCGCATCCACGCGCGGCGTCGCTACAACCTGCGCGGATTCTTTTAAGACGACTACGTCACGCGTGGACTTGTGAATGGGCCCCGGGGCGCGAGAGGCACCCAAGTTACCGCGGGGGCAACTGCGCCGCCGAGGCATCCACCATAGCCGCGCTTAAAGTATATGCCGCCGTCAAGACCGCGGCAATCAAGCGTGGCGCCGATCTCCGATCCTGAGAGGTGGCGTCGAGGCAGTCCGCGGAGGTGGCCGCCGCCGCCGCCCGCCGGGCGCTCGCGATCTCGGCCACGCGTACTATGCGTTTCGAGCGTCGACTGATCAAGGGCGCCCGGAGCGTCATGGACTCCAGACGCGCGTTCATGTGGAAGTCCCGCAAGGGGCCCGGCGGCGAGACGGTCGGCGTCATTCGGTGACGCACGGCAGTGGTTTCCAGGGCACGGACGCCGGGGCCCTGGAGACGTTCGCGGGCGCGGCGAAGAGGGCGCCCCAGTGCGTCCTGTCCCCAGAGGCGGCTTGTCGCCCAGCCTTGGCGTGCGTGGCCGTGGACGTCGAGAAGGCTTCCCTGAGGCGCATGACATATGCCGAGATGCAGGGGCATGGCGAGGCGCCGCGAGTGGTGAACGAACTTCTTGCCGCCTGGCAGTGCTGCCATCCTTCTGCAGGCCCCGGGCTGCAAGTCCTTCGACGAGCGGACCGAGTGCCTGCGCTGCATCGTGCCGGGCACGGGCTGCAAGGATGCGCCGAGAGCTTTCTCCGTGGAGCTCGCCGGGGCCGCGCGCTCACCCGAGCGCAGACCCGAGCCCGCGCGATGGGGCCTTCAGTTCGACGCCAAGCGCGAGTCGTCTGGCACGCGCAGTGCTGGCGGCTCAGCGTCAGCGCTCATGCTGTCTGAGCACGTCGACGATCTCAAGACGCAGGACGCAAGGACCACGTCGACCGGTTCATCGGCCACATCGAGGGCGTCTTTGGCAAGATGAGGGGGGATTACGACGCCTTCAACAACTGCGGAGCCCACCGGCACCGCAGTGCCGATGGACCAGAAACGCTCGGATGCGACTCACTGATCACCGTCGTGCATGTCGACCTGGCCATGTCGAAGGGCGACGAGCCGGCCGGGGGTCTACTCTGGGATCTCTTTGTCTCCCTCCTCGGAGCAGCTGCCCACGCGCTGCTCGCGCAAAACCGCGCTGCCATCCACATCGTCTTGCTGCAATGGTCCGGGGCAAGTTGCTCGATAGGCATGCAAAGCAGCTCAGATTCGTTGTCTTGGCCACGCAGACAATCAAGGCGCGCGTCGCCTGCCAAGCGATGGGGCGCGCGGGCCAGATCCGCGCGCGCAGCGACGGCTTGTTCATGCGCGAGACGGAGACAGGATGTGGCATGCGTGGCGCCGCGCGCAGGCGTCTGGGCATGTCGTAGCCTTTGCAAGCAGATCTGCCATCTGCTCGACGGTGTTAGCCGATCGCGAAGCTCGCGTGTCCATCATTATTCAGGTCGGCTGCTCGCGTCGTGCGGAG